TAGCGGGCAGCAAGCTAGTTCCTTATAAATCAGTTATATGCAGAAATATACATACATATGAATGCGATTTCAATTTCGATAAAAATAAGTTTATGAATTTTTAACTTTTTGACATTTTTTGTTACGAACCTTCTGTTGGCCACTGGATTCCACCACCCTACTAGCTCACGCGGCATTACCTCGGGGCGTGATTCTCAACCCTTTTGATGACCAAGGTTCGCTACAAAATAACTTACAATTGAACAGAAAATCAAATACGTATTCAACATACACAGAGCGAAACACACACATAGGAAGAAAGGTGATATTCTCCAATCGCCCAATCCCAACCATGGCCGTATTACATCCCTTACCATTATCTTACGGACCCCATAATCCGTCCATCACGTCCTATCATTCAATAATCCCAATAACGTATTTACTCAATTTTATTCATTACTGCTATCTATATATATAAAAATGAAAGTGTGTTTGTATGTATGTATGTATGTATGTATGTATGTATGTATGTATGTATGTATGTATGTATGTATATATGTATGTATGTTTGTTTGTTTGTTTGTGCTTTATAGACTGCTAAACGGCTAGACCGATTTTCCTGAAATTTTCACAGTTTCTTCCTTGTATGTCTGGAAGGAACTATAGGCTACTTTTTATGTTGAAATTTCATGTGGGCGACGTGCCACGCCCATATTAAGAAAATATTAAATTAGTATATCTGAGATAATATAATAGTTAGAGTCTTCAAATTTTGTCGGAGCAACTTTAGTATCAATATAATTATTTAAGACAAAAAGTGGGCGGATTAGCATTAGGGGGCGTGGCACCTCCCATATAAATTAAATACAAAAATTCGTTTATCTTGGAAACTATTATAGTTAGAATATTAAAAATTTCCACGAGTAACTTTAACATCCATGTAAACATTTTGGGAAATAAATTGGCGGACTACCCATGAGGGGAGCAGTACCTCCCATATTAATAAAATACATTCAAATTTTGCACTAAGAACTTAAATATTAATCTGAACATTTTTTAGAAAAAGAGCGGACTTTCGCCATGTATGTATGTATGTATGTATGTATGTATGTATGTATGTATGTATGTATGTATGTATGTAGTATGTATGTATGTATGTATGTATGTATGTATGTATGTATGTATGTATGTATGTATGTATGTATGTATGTATGTATGTATGTATGTATGTATGTATGTATGTATGTATGTATGTATGTATGTATGTATGTATGTATGTATGTATGTATGTAGTATGTATGTATGTATGTATGTATGTATGTATGTATGTATGTATGTATGTATGTATGTATGTATGTATGTATGTATGTATGTATGTATGTATGTATGTATGTATGTATGTATGTATGTATGTATGTATGTATGTATGTATGTATGTATGTATGTATGTATGTATGTATGTATGTATGTATGTATGTATGTATGTATGTATGTATGTATGTATGTATGTATGTATGTATGTATGTATGTATGTATGTATGTATGTATGTATGTATGTATGTATGTTTGTTTGTGCTTTATAGACTGCTAAACGGCTGGACCGATTTTCCTGAAATTTTCACAGTTTCTTCCTGTATTTCTGGAAGGAACTATAGGTTACTTTTTATGTTGAAACTAGCTAAAACCCGGCGTGCTTTGCTACTCCTGTCGATATAAAATAAAAAATTTCAAAATATATTCATATACATTTTTTGTTTATAAAAATTTTATTAATATTTGTTTGTCACTATCCAAAACCATAAAGTAATAAGACAAAGAAAGTTTGATATTTAAAGTATTTTATTAATTAACTAGCTAAAACCCGGCGTGCTTTGCTACTCCTGTCGATATAAAATAAAAAATTTTCAAAATATATTCATATACATTTTTTGTTTATAAAAATTTTATTAATATTTGTTTGTCACTATCCAAAACCATAAAGTAATAAGACAAAGAAAGTTTGATATTTAAAGTATTTTATTAATTAATGATATTTATGTACATATATTATTTCTTAATAATTATTTCTTATTCCTATTCATTAGCATAAATTTACAAAATATTACAAAATTACTAAAATTTAATTGACTTAATATTTACAATTAAAATTTTTCTTAATAATTATTTCCTATTCTAAAGCCTTGGGATATACAATATTTTTCGTTTTCCCCTCAGGCGCGTAGATATACAAATCTGAAGGTTTCTCAACTCGCGAGCATGCAACATAAAGCTGACCATGTGAGAAGCATGGATTTTCGAGATTTATTCCACACACTTGCAGGGATTGACCCTGAAATTTGTTTATTGTCATCGCGAATGCCAAACGTGTAGGAAATTGCAACCGTTTAAAGTCGAATGGCATTTCCGATGTTGTCATTGAGATCCGAGGTAGTAAGACATCCGTTCCTTTATATTGGCCAGTTGTAATCGTTGCTTCGATTAAGTTGTTCATTAATTTTTTAACTGTTAATCGAGTACCATTACAAAGACGTGGTGGATCAATATTTCGCAATAAAATAATTGGAACGCCAATTTTCAACTTCAATTCGTGGGGATACATTGACGACATCATCATTATTTGTAACAGTATCGATGGATTTATATGTTTTTAAATTACCATCGATTCTATTCAAAATAATATTATTGATACAATTAACGTCAATGTTTTTGGGTGCCAGTAAAGCACGCTCACATAACCACTGCCTATTTTTGAAATTACGTTGAAGATTTGGAAAAACACAATATATTAACTCTTTCTTTGATTGTGTGATCCTACAAAAGTTAGAGGGAAACTTTACACAATTTGTGGTTGGCTCAATTGTCATTTTTCCATTTCCTAAATCCAGCAATTGTTTTGTTGTTAATTTTAACGTGTGAACATGTTGCCAGAGATATGATGATTTTAGGCAAGCATTGAGTTCATCAGCCGGCGTTGAACCAGGTATCACAGGAAGTGTCCGGCGAAAATCACCCGCTAAAAGAATTAATGCACCTCCAAATACAATAGAATTACTTCTCATGTCCTTTAAAGTGCGATCAAGCGCTTCTAAGGATTTTTTGTGGGCCATGGTGCATTTATTCCACACTATTATTTTATATGTTTGCAGGATTTTACCCATTGAAGAATTTTTCTTAACACTACATGTATAATCTTCAGAAAATTGTGTTTTCAACAATAATTTGAGTGCATAATCTAAAAGTGTTGCTGCAATACCTGATGACGCAATGGCTAAGGCAATATTCTTTTGTGATCGAACTTTAGCTAAAATTAATGAGATGAGAAAGGTTTCTCCGGTTCCTCCTGGCGCATCAATGAAATAAAATCCTCCTTGTAAGAAATAATTATTAAGAAATAATATATGTACATAAATATCATTAATTAATAAAATACTTTAAATATCAAACTTTCTTTGTCTTATTACTTTATGGTTTTGGATAGTGACAAACAAATATTAATAAAATTTTTATAAACAAAAAATGCATATCAATATATTTTGGAAATTTTTTATTTTATATCGACAGGAGTAGCAAAGCACGCCGGGTTTTAGCTAGTATATAATATTTGTTAAAACATATTTGAAGCTAAACCTATCTTATTCAAAAAAAAACTGAACAAATTCTTAAAATTCTAATTCATGTAATACATATATTTTCTTGGCATTTTTTTCTTATTAAATCATTCTTATAAATACAAATTGCCCTAAAATGATTCTTGCCACTTTCTATAAACAAAAATCATATACTAAAACTTATAACTATAAAAAAATTAAACCATAAAACACAAACTAAATAAATACATATATATGAACATACAAAAAAATTAGACACTTAAACTTACGATAGGATCGTACAGATATTAAACAAAAACAGGCCTCTCAAAATCTTCTGCCTGACCGATATGTTGCAACCAAAAGAAATAATTTTCCCTAAAAGAGCTCTCTGAGGTACTTCTCGATTTTAAACAATATTAGACACTTTTTCTAATTTTCTGATTTCTCGAATTTGAAATTACATCTAACGATCCCTCTCACAATGATTCGATTTCACTAACAAAAAAAATACTTAAATTACAATAAACGTTATTTAAATACACTTAAAACTAATTACTAACTTAAACACTACTGAGAACTTAAACATTACTGAGAACAGTTATATTCATCAGATTTCCCATTGGGTCTTTAGTTTTTCAATATCAATAAGCTTTTAACATGGGTTTGAGAATTTGCTACCCTTTTTACCCTAGACTCTTAATTGTGAGCTTTACTGAGGACTATATAAAGAGCTTTATATAGAGCTTTCCTTGCTAAATGGTCATTATCGCCAAACCAAAGTTTTAATTTAATTTTAGGATGCCACTTTTAAACATGCACTGTTAATTATAAAAAAAAAATAGTTTTCGTTACCTTTTCTCTTCTATTTGCTCTGACATGAAATGGCTTACGTTAGTTCTTCTGTGACTCCTATTCCAACTTCGCAAAAGTGTGTTGTAGCTTTTCCAATCAATTGCAATTCAAACTCTTACTCAAGCAATTTATCATATAATTCCTCTGGGCAAAAAGGATTTCTATAAAACTTTCCACGTTAATTAGGATTGAAACACTTTCGTAACTTTGTATAATCAAAACTTACTTTCTTCTCTAATTTTCTAGTCACAAATAATAAATAAATATAATAAATATAGTATAAATTATAAAATCACTTCAATTGTTTCACAATAGTTTTCAATTTAAAATTTGATAATTTAAAAAATTCAAGTATTTAAGCTTTTAACTTAGTAACGTTCACTTAATACTTCACAGCTTGAGGTTTTCTATTTTAGTGATCTTAATGTTAAAAAAAATGTTTCGTGTAACATAAAATAAAAACGTTTAGTTGTTACAAAACAACAAAACTAGTACATAAAAAACAAGTACCGAAAAATAACATTACCATACAAGCAATTCTCACGATTACATCGGGTCATAAACTTATTTCCTATGGCCTTGAACTCATTACAAGCAATTTCGCAGAGAAAAATCGTTTAACTTTTCTCTTCCTTCGGATAAACTACAAATCTACCTATAAATTCAACCTTGTTTTTACTCTTTTTATACAACTCTGCATGCAAAAGCTCATTTTCCATAATGGACTTCCAGTAATGAACAGCTGACATTCAACCACCAATAAAACTGAGCAAACATAAACAAAAAACATCTATGTGAAAATAATAAAATAAACAATCAAAAAAATTAAATTCAACAAAACAAAAAGAACTCCTACCACTGTGCCATCGTTACCAGGACCGGACCCTACAAAACCACAAAGAAAGAAACAATGCTGCCTAAAAAAAAGAGAAAAAAAAGGTAACAAACATAAAAAAAAACTACAAACAACAAACTTAAAGAACTAAACAAAAATTCATACAGAAAACAAATTAACGTTTTAAAAACAACGAGGCCCACATACAAAACGAAAATACACCCGCAACAAAACTCAGATGCCGCTGATGAGAGTCAGAGGGAGCGGTGTGCGGCTAAGTTTCAGCGTGACCAACGTGGGGAACTCCCACACCCTGAGATTCTATCAGCCGGACATTAACACTTAACTATTTCCAATGGTGGCAATTTGGGTATCACAATCCCTACTGATGTCCCAATGAATCAACTAATATCAGGTAAAAATAATGCAATAAAAAAAACTAACGATGTGAACGTTCAAGAACATTCAGGTGATTAAATGATTTAACCAAATTAAGTGTTAAACAATATTAAATCAAAGACATAGAAAAGTGTCAATATTAGGACGAAAACATGTATACCGTATACTTTTATTAATAATTTCACTGTGTTCTTAACCTAATATTGCACTTAAAAAAAAAAAAAAACTATATCACAGATAAAAATATTATTGCACTTAAATTGGTTAATCTTTCCTATAAAAGAAGTAAACAAAACAAAAACGTAGAAGTCATAACTAGTGCTTCGTAGATTTCACCACAAAACCGTAATATAAATACATATATATATAATACAATATTAGGACAAAACATAACAAAATTTAAAATATATAAAAAATAAATAAATAAATAATTAATTCTATTCTAATATTGCACTATATAAAATATCACAGCCCTGGAAAAATCTCAATATTGCACTCAGTTATTTTTCTATTTATCCACTCAGATTTTGCCATACATCAATCTATTGTCTTCGGATAATATATAACATGCATAAAGATAAAAACTCGCCTACTATTGCTTTTTTCACAAGGAAAATGCATAGTGGCTCCCCAACATTGCTACAGATTCTGACAAACAAATAAATTCCAATTCTTGTAATTGGTTCTTGACCAACTGTAGCACCTTTGGCGCAAAATATTAAAAACAATCATCCTTACATACTATATACATTCACCATCATATTGGATCGTCAATTATTTAATACTGCTAGAATCTGTGCAACTTAACTTGGAAACACCCCTATCATTCCTGTTAACGTCGCGAACTTCACCTACACACATGTTGAAACTTCCATTAACTTTCATTATGAAATGTTATTGACGATAACGAATACATTATCCGAAAATTGACTACGGGAAGTATATATATTACTATTTACATAAGTTTTTACTTTGTTTAATCCTTTTCATAACTATCGTTACAGTCTAAAATTTGATTTGGCATCATGTGGAATCATATTAACAAAAATAAGGGACTGCACAACATCATAAGAACAACCAAAACTTTATTTGCCGCATAATTCTGGTAAGTTAGATTTTCTTAACATAGATTGTAGTACAATACATAAATAGGCCAAGTTCACACTAGTACTAGAAGTTATAAAAGTTTAATCATTGCACTATTCTGTTTTTCGGCTATATTTTGATATCTTTTGAATGATACACACCCAGTGATTTTCCCTGGAGTGTCTCCAGTTCATACATGTTATTCCCGATAGCCTTTACCACTCTACATTTTAAAAATTTCCTACAGAATTTTGAGTTTATGTTCTTTCCAAAGTTGCTCAAAATATTGTTACGTCGATATACCTCTTGCCCTGGGATAAACTTTACAATTCTCGTTCCCCTGTTGTATCTCTCGGCGCTTCTCTCATAGGCCTTAGCCATATTCTGCTGCATCTTTTCCCTGATCAATTGCATTCTATCATTAACATTCATTTGCACTATTTCATGGTCCGTTAGCGACTTAAGTTTCCTACTTAATTTGTAATCCGCCCCATTGCTAAACATGTGATACCCAAATAAAGCGAAAAACGGCGTAACACCTGTGGCAGTATGTACCGAAGTTCTTAGGGCACATTCAATCTCGGACAAATACATGTCCCAGTCGCGGTGATCTTTATCCAGGTATGCTCGTATCGCCGATAAGACCGATTGGTTCACCCGTTCGCTTGCATTGCTCTGTGGTGAATATACAGCAGTTTTAAGATGTTGTATCTTGTAAAGATTCATTAGGCTTTCAAAACTTTTAGCCATAAATTGGCTACCGTTATCGCTGTGCAACACTTCAGGCACTCCAAATTTGTGAAATATCTCGGTGACAAGGAAGTTAATGATATTTGCGGTTGTGGCTTCTTTCATTGCTTTTAAATATATAAATTTCGTAAAATGATCCATAACTATAAAGATATAGCAGTTTCCCTTTTTAGACCTGGGATATTTTCCCATGAAATCTATATATAGTATTTGAAAGGGTCTTTCAGTTACCACTTGCTGTCCTATCTCCGGTCTCATGTTTATATTGTTAGGTTTAGTTTCCTTGCATATTTGGCAATTTGCTATAAAATTTTTCACTTGTATCGTCATTTTCGGCCAGTAAAAAAATCTCTTCAACCTTTCCAATGTTTTGTAACTCCTCCGTGAGCTGTTATTAGTGTTGAATGTGCATTTTCTATAATAGCATTAGTAATTGTCGCTGGAATCCACATTTTCCACGGAGACTCTTCCTCATTCTGATCATAAGTCTTCTTGTATACTAGCCCATTTTCAACCTTCAGATCAGGCAACATTTCGGCGTTTTTTCTATATGGGCTGCTAAATCTTTGTATTCATGGCTTTCAAATTCGGTGGTTTCAAATCCTAGCAGATCAGTTATGTCAATCTCATCAATATTGGGCAGCCTTGATAGCATATCTGCTACTATTTTCTCGGAGTCTTTTCTATGCTTTATTTGGAAATCAAATGCCTGCAATTGTAAAGACCACCTAGCCAATCTTCCCGTGAGATCTTTTAACGACATGAGCCATTTTAGACTGGCGTGGTCTGTCACAATTGTAAATGGCATCATTTCAATATATTGCCTGAATTTCTTAACCGCCATTATGGCAGCTAAACACTCCTTCTCAGTAACTGTGTAATTTCGCTGACAACCGTTTAGCTTCTGGGAAAAAAATGCAATAGGATGCTCCTCTTTTTCTCCATGTATCTGGTAAAGCACTGCACCGATTCCATAATCACATGCATCGCATTGTATAAAGAATCTTTTTGTAAAGTCAGCATGTCGAAGGACAGGTGCAGAGGTTAATGCTCTCTTGAGTTTATCGAAAGCTTCAACTGCCTCTGGAGTCATTACAAATTTGTTTGCCTTCTTCAGAGTATCTGTTAATGGTGCGGCTATTACGGAAAAGTTTTTTATAAAGCGGCGATACCAGCCAGCGGTACCCAAGAAGCTACGAACTTCTCTTATGGATCTTGGTATTTTCATTTCCGTTATCGATTTAACTTTATCCGGATCCGTTCTCCGTGCTTGTCAAAATCATTGGAAATAATCAAAAGGTCATCTAAATAAATAAACACGTTATCCTTAAGCTCTTGTGGGATAACTCTATCCATTAATCGACACAAGCGCTGAGCCGCATTACAAAGGCCGAATGGCATTACTCTAAATTGATAAAGCGGCCTTCCAGCAACTGTAAATGCGGTGTAAGGCCTGCTCTCTGGCTCCAACTCGATCTGCCAAAATGCATATTTGAGATCGACGCTACTTATAAAATAAGTTTCGTCGATCCGGCTAAGAATCCCATCAATATTCTGCAGAGGATATGCATCTTTTATTGTTAAACTATTAAGCTTTCTTGCATCGAGACACAATCTGTTCTTACCCGTTTTCCTAACTATCGTAATCTTATTATTCCACGGGTTCTATTACTTTCAATTTAAGCATGTTGTCTATTTCTTTGTATGTGATTTCTTGTACGGCCGGAGAAATCGGATAATATTTATCCTTTACTGGCTCTGCTCCGTCAACTAACTTGATCTGGTGTCTTTCTAAGGTAGTTTGACCCAAACCTTTCGACTCAAACGTATCAAATTTTCTTATTACGTCGTCTAGTCTACGTTTTTGGTCCTCCGTTAAGTCATGAACACCCAACTTATTTTCCTTTTCAAAGTCTACAAAATCATCGATAATTTTACTGACCTCAACTTCTTCTACACCAATCACGTCAGGAGCCAAATTGAACATCCGCCAAAAATCAATGCCCAAATATAAAGATTACTCCAAGTCTGGACAAAGGTACAGAAGGATATTATTTTTCTGTCCTTTGTACTGTATGGATGCATTAAATTTACCCAATACCCTGTAGTGCTGACCACTAGCGGTCTTAACACCATAGCATAAAGGTGTAATTTCTAAATTTAACTCCTCTACTATCTCCCTACAATTCTTTCCTAGGATACTGACAGATGCTCCACTATCTAAAAGGCCTGTCATTTCTTTACTTTCAATTACTACATCTAAATAAATTCTATTGTCTTCACTTCCGTTTCCTGCTCTACTTAATGATTCTATTATACACTTATTTCTTTCTCGCTTAATCTTATAAAGTTCCCTAATTCTTTTAATGCGTTTTGTTAATGGTTTCCGTACGCCGTTTTCCTCGAAGATTCTTGATCTTATTTTGTTATAATATTGCTTTCTCATTTCCAATGGTATCATATGTCTCATTTCGGGTTTTTTGCAGGGTTTTTTGGTGGACGTGGGTCCCCGCTCTTTCCCAAGTCCCTCATCCGGTTTCCCTGTTGACAATCAGGACATTTAGGTGCAATGGCTTACCACACCGGTAACAAAACAATGTTCTCTCAGCCGAATTACAATCACGAAAACCGTGTCCTATCATTTTGCAGTTCCAGCACTTCAAAAATTGTCCTTGACCTGTTAGTTGTACAGCTGCTACTTCTTCCAAACTCGGTTCAATATCCGTGACTTCGTTTACGCTTCTTATGTGCCTTTGCTGTTGAATATTGTTGCGTAATTCTTTTTTCGGAAAATTTCTTTCTGCTTCCAAACATTCGACACGCAATTGTTCCACAGATGAGACGGGAATAGGATAAACAATTCTTGCCACACTTTCCTTGACATTTCTTTTCATTATTTTGATCATATCAAATTCGGGAATAGGCTGTACAAGACGAGCTCTCATTTTACACATTTCCTGAAAAAACAACTCCAGAGATTCATTTGGCTGTTGCTTCCTTTCCACCAAATCTCTTATTATTTCCAGATTCGAGGTGTTTGTCCTATATTGATTATACAATTCACAGCGCAAAGTTGGCCATTTCATCACTCCATGGGTACGGATAAGTAGCCAGTACCAATCCTTAGCAGGACCCGTAACCAGTAAGTGGAAATCTCTTAATATTTCGTCCCAACTAATGCTATAATGCGCCTGAAGATGTTCGATTCGAAAGATGAAATCTTCAATACTCAATTGGGAATTGTTGCCATTGTATACAATTCCCCATTTGTCAACGCGTATATTAATTCTCTCTATATTACCATTATTATTGTTTTCAGAAGCTGTATGACTGCCTGGAGTAGCCCTATTACCCACCATTGGATTAGCGTTTGTGTTACTGTTAATGTTCCCCGCTGGCAAAATATTTTCATTATTTCCTATTTGACGTGGATAATTTACATTATTCCAAAAACCATTTGGACCGCCCTGAAAGTTGAACCGTGGTTCTACTGAAAAAACATTTCTATGTGAATTTCCCGGACCATTTACATTATTATTAGTTGATTGTTGAGAATCTACAGAGTTATGAGTCCGAGTTGACATTTCCCTCACGACTTTTGTTAACTCTCCCACAGATTTTCTAATCTCACTAATTTCTTCTTGTACCATTTTTTTTTACCTGTTCCTCTAAAGCTCTCTGAACTATTAAGGTTTCATCCACTACTAATTCCCTAACCTCAGGACCTATGGCAACATTTGGGACACTTGTCGAAGGACCCTGTGCATCATTTGCAACGGATGTATTATTGGGTTGATTTGATGTTATATTAATAGTAAAAGATAAATCCCTAAAGTTTTCGTTCTCAGCCATTTGTATTCTATTATTATCAAATCTTCTATGCTTATGTTTAATTATCGTGGAATTATTTAAATTTGTATTTGGCATTGACCTTTTCCTATTCCTTGTTTGTATCCTATCTTCCCTGTTCATATCTCAAATCAGCTTGATATTTCAAATCTATTTGGATTTTGTTAAATTACCAAACTAAAATAAAAATAACGATAAATAATATTGGCTAAAAACAAATGGTTATAATATATATGGATTAAATACACAAATACCTAATAAAAAAAGGACATAAAAATAAAAAAAATAATAATAAAATAATAAAAAAAAACTTAAAATATAATAATAATTAATTACCAAAAACAAAAATAATAAAAAAAATACAACAAAAACGATACAAAACTATCAAATATTTGACTAGATCAAATACAGATAAACAAAACAATAAATTTTAATAAATATAATTTAAATTCAAATTTGCTATAAAATACTAAACTAGGGATTATTGAATGGCGACGGTTTGACGGTTAATAATATTTGATTCCTGAGCTATGTATGTAAATGTTTCGCTAAATCAATAAGTTAAAAAAAAGGATCATTCATAACTAAACAGTTTCTTCTGTGCTCTAGTATTACTTTAAATCTGTAATCACCAGAGGCCAGTAAACAATTTCCATCGACACAACTGACCACCAGTTTCATAACCAATGCGGCTGTCGATGTGGCCATTGCAACTGCTCCACAAAAAAAAAAAACTTCAAACGGAACTAATACAAATTAATAAACAAAACACGAATTATGGTAAACGTTTAGAATGAATTCTATTCCATTTACTAAGAATACACCATATCTTCGTCTGAATAGGTCGTGCAAATTTACCCAGTATTCTAATAAAACTGAAATTCTGTCGCACAACTGACTTTCTGAATAACTACACAAAAACGGCTGCGACCATTCATTTTTATCAGCATATCTGGGAAATTGTACGTAGGGCTATTTTAATTATTCTAGTAGTATATTGCCTAGTGTTTTGGTCATCTACACTAATTACTTTCATTCTATTTTCAGTTTGGGCGCCATATTCTGTTACGAACCTTCTGTTGGCCACTGGATTCCACCACCCTACTAGCTCACGCGGCATCACCTCGGGGCGTGATTCTCAACCCTTTTGATGACCAAGGTCCGCTACAAAATAACTTACAATTGAACAGCAAATCAAATACGTATTCAACATACACAGAGCGAAACACACACATAGGAGAAAGGTGATATTCTCCAATCGCCCAATCCCAACCATGGCCGTATTACATCCCTTACCATTATCTTACGGACCCCATAATCCGTCCATCACGTCCTATCATTCAATAATCCCAATAACGTATTTACTCAATTTTATTCATTACTGCTATATATAATATTTATTAAAACATATTTGAAGCTAAACCTATCTTATTCAAAAAAAAAACTGAACAAATTCTTAAAATTCTAATTCATGTAATACATATATTTTCTTGGCATTTTTTTCTTATTAAATCATTCTTATAAATACAAATTGCCCTAAAATGATTCTTGCCACTTTCTATAAAAAAAAATCATATACTAAAACTTATAACTATAAAAAAATTAAACCATAAAACACAAACTAAATAAATACATATATAAACATACAAAAAAAATTAGACACTTAAACTTACGATAGGATCGTACAGATATTAAACAAAAACAGGCCTCTCAAAATCTTCTGCCTGACCGATATGTTGCAACCAAAAGAAATAATTTTCCCTAAAAGAGCTCTCTGAGGTACTTCTCGATTTTAAACAATATTAGACACTTTTTCTAATTTTCTGATTTCTCGAATTTGAAATTACATCTAACGATCCCTCTCACAATGATTCGATTTCACTAACAAAAAAAAAAAAAAAAAAAAACTTAAATTACAATAAACGTTATTTAAATACACTTAAAACTAATTACTAACTTAAACACTACTGAGAACTTAAACACTACTGAGAACAGTTATATTCATCAGATTTCCCATTGGGTCTTTAGTTTTTCAATATCAATAAGCTTTTAACATGGGTTTGAGAATTTGCTACCCTTTTTACCCTAGACTCTTAATTGTGAGCTTTACTGAGGACTGTATAAAGAGCTTTATATAGAGCTTTCCTGGCTAATGGGTCATTATTCGCCAAACCAAAGTTTTAATTTAATTTTAGGATGCCACTTTTAAACATGCACTGTTAATTATATAAAAAAAAAATAGTTTTCGTTACCTTTTCTCTTCTATTTGCTCTGACATGAAATGGCTTACGTTAGTTCTTCTGTGACTCCTATTCCAACTTCGCAAAAGTGTGTTGTAGCTTTTCCAATCAATTGCAATTCAAACTCTTACTCAAGCAATTTATCATATAATTCCTCTGGGCAAAAAGGATTTCTATAAAACTTTCCACATTAATTAGGATTGAAACACTTTCGTAACTTTGTATAATCAAAACTTACTTTCTTCTCTAATTTTCTAGTCACAAATAATAAAATAAATATAATAAATATAGTATAAAGTATAAATCTCTTCAATTGTTTCACAATAGTTTTTCAATTTAAAATTTGATAATTTAAAAAATTCAAGTATTTAAGCTTTTAACTTAGTAACGTTCACTTAATACTTCACAGCTTGAGGTTTTCTATTTTAGTGATCTTAATGTTCAAAAAAATGTTTCGTGTAACATAAAATAAAAACGTTTAGTTGTTACAAAACAACAAAACTAGTACATAAAAAACAAGTACCGAAAAATAACATTACCATACAAGCAATTCTCACGATTACATCGGGTCATTAACTTATTTCCTATGGCCTTGAACTCATTACAAGCAATTTCGCAGAGAAAAATCGTTTAACTTTTCTCTTCCTTCGGATAAACTACAAATCTACCTATAAATTCAATCTTGTTTTTACTCTTTTTATACAACTCTGCATGCAAAAGCTCATTTTCCATAATGGACTTCCAGTAATGAACAGCTGACATTCAACCACCAATAAAACTGAGCAAACATAAACAAAAACATCTATGTGAAAATAATAAAATAAACAATCAAAAAAAAATTAAGTTCAACAAAACAAAAAGAACTCCTACCACTGGGCCATCGTTACCAGGACCGGACTCTACAAAACCACAAAGAAAAGAAACAATGCTGCCTAAAAAAAAGAGAAAAAAAAGGTAACAAACACAAAAAAAACTACAAACAACAAACTTAAAGAACTAAACAAAAATTCATACAGAAAACAAATCACCGTTTTAAAAACAACGAGGCCCACATACAAAACGAAAATACACTCGCAACATTTTTAAACAGATTCTAAGAAGTTGTTTCGGAACTAGTATACGTTTCATGGAACTAGTGGATAATGCCTTTAGGAAGGCCTCTTTACTGCCACTTTTTCCCGCTGCGAACTGCTGGCTGCCATGTTACCGCCAACTGCTATTGAAAATAAATTGACTATTGTCATCTCGTATTCATTTAATCCGGATTATCTACATGGCGTTGCTCTTGCGGAATGGGCTAAAGGACTGTTAAAGTTGCATTCAAAAACCTTTTATTTGGGAAAATATACTAGAGATCAGGATTCACTAAGTTATTACATCATGCTAGAGATGTTTAGTTTTATTTTAAATGATTGCGTTAAATATAAACATTAGAGGATAAATACTTGTTGACTTCCAAAATATTCCTTGTTATTCACCTACCTTTGGGGGTATAGTGATGGCTTTTTGTTATTGTTTTAAAAACGACTGCTAAAGTTGAAAAAACAAACTGGACAAATTATTTTGCCATGGAATAATCCATAATAGAAAAAAGTAGACGCCCATCGGTAGTGACTAGTCGATGCCCTCTCAAGTAAAGGGCATCATTAAGCACTGAAAATACTGTGGAATTTTAGAACTTAAACTACTTTAATGCTGAAAACAAAGTATCCCTCATAACAATCGTAATCTGTCGCAGAGAAAAAGATGAACTCTCTGCAAATTATTTGCATGATTTGCCATTGGCAGTACAAAATGTTTAAGTAACAACACGATCAAGAACAGCAGTTGCCAAAATAAATTTTAGTTTAGACAAAGGGGGTGCTGATGCCACTACAGATTCGAATTGTCTCAACTATCTACTTGTTAAAGGTAGCCTGGATCCACAACAGCCGCCAAACGAGATGAAAATCAAACTGAGATTGTCCGAAAGGTAATTAAATTTATTATTTATTGCTACATATTCTTCAAATCATGCTCATTTCTAATTTAATTTTAAAGATGTCGTTCCTTGCTTCCTTGGACGAAGATCTACTGGCTATGGCACATCATGAACGATATATTTCTTCTGCCAAGGATGTAGTGCGTAACCAAAACGATGTTTATCATACTCCAACGAAAAAAAAAATAAGGAATCATCTGAAAGTACTCCCTCGAAAAAGTATATTAAGAACAGAAAGGTGAAAAATGAGTATGTAAGAGATGTGTTGAATACTTATAAATTTATATAAAACAGTCGAAGATACTCCGAAAATAAGCATTCAGTTATCAAGTATTGTGGAGAAAAAAATGTTCATATATGTATATAGACAATTGTAGGCAAAACATTGTCTTGGGAACATGCACATACATTGTTGGAAAAGCGTTTCGCATAGGAAAGTAACTACAGCGTTATTAGTGGATGAATAAGATATTTTACCAATAGAAGACAAGATTTTTATATAGTTGATTGGCTTACAAAATATGCAGCTCGTTTGATTCCAGTAACTATTTACAATACCATGGATTTTGCCTGACCGTTTGCTAATGGGTAAAGTCACCGCCCCTTTGGGGTTTTTGAGTGACTCAGAAGCTTTTAAAAATAGTGCAGTACAATTAGTGGTAAGGTAAGTCTAAAATATATATTGACATTAAAAGTGTACACAAAATAATTTTTCGTAGTTTTACAAATTAACATAATTTCACAGGCCAATGGAATGAAGGTTTGCAAAAAATGTTAGTACCAATTCGACTGACTTTAATGTATTTTTAGCTGCTAAACCGAATCTGATATCTGTTTTTTTCTATCACCCACCATTTTCTCGCAAAATGCCAATGAATATTTTGTTCATATATTAGGGACATTTTATTATTTATCTATATATATAAAAATGAAAGTGTGTTTGTATGTATGTATATATGTATGTATGTTTGTTTGTTTGTTTGTGCTTTATAGACTGCTAAACGGCTAGACCGATTTTCCTGAAATTTTCACAGTTTCTTCCTGTATGCCTGGAAGGAACTATAGGCTACTTTTTATGTTGAAATTTCATGTGGGCGACGTGCCACGCCCATATTAAGAAAATATTAAATTAGTATATCTGAGATAATATAATAGTTAGAGTCTTCAAATTTTGTCGGAGCAACTTTAGTATTAATATAATTATTTAAGACAAAAAGTGGGCGGATTAGCATTAGGGGGCGTGGCACCTCCCATATAAATTAAATACAAAAATTCGTTTATCTTGGAAACTATTATAGTTAGAATATTAAAAATTTCCACGAGTAACTTTAACATCCATGTAAACATTTTGGGAAATAAATTGGCGGACTACCCATGAGGGGAGCAGTACCTCCCATATTAATAAAATACAAAAATTGGTTTATATGGGAAACTAATAGAACATTTTTTAGAAAAAAGAGCGGACTTTCGGCATGTATGTATGTATGTATGTATGTATGTATGTATGTATGTATGTATGTATGTATGTATGTATGTATGTATGTATGTATGTATGTATGTATGTATGTATGTATGTATGTATGTATGTATGTATGTATGTATGTATGTATGTATGTATGTATGTATGTATGTATGTATGTATGTATGTATGTATGTATGTATGTATGTATGTATGTATGTATGTACGTATGTATGTATGTATGTATGTATGTATGTCGATATAAAATAAAAAATTTCCAAAATATATTGATATGCATTTTTTGTTTAAAAAAATTTTATTAATATTTGTTTGTCACTATCCAAAACCATAAAGTAATAAGACAAAGAAAGTTTGATATTTAAAGTATTTTATTAATTAATGATATTTATGTACATATATTATTTCTTAATAATTATTTCTTACAAGGAGGATTTTATTTCATTGATGCGCCAGGAGGAACCGGAGAAACCTTTCTCATCTCATTAATTTTAGCTAAAGTTCGATCACAAAAGAATATTGCCTTAGCCATTGCGTCATCAGGTATTGCAGCAACACTTTTAGATTATGCACTCAAATTATTGTTGAAAACACAATTTTCTGAAGATTATACATGTAGTGTTAAGAAAAATTCTTCAATGGGTAAAATCCTGCAAACATATAAAATAATAGTGTGGAATAAATGCACCATGGCCCACAAAAAATCCTTAGAAGCGCTTGATCGCACTTTAAAGGACATGAGAAGTAATTCTATTGTATTTGGAGGTGCATTAATTCTTTTAGCGGGTGATTTTCGCCGGACACTTCCTGTGATACCTGGTTCAACGCCGGCTGATGAACTCAATGCTTGCCTAAAATCATCATATCTCTGGCAACATGTTCACACGTTAAAATTAACAACAAAACAATTGCTGGATTTAGGAAATGGAAAAAATGACAATTGAGCCAACCACAAATTGTGTAAAGTTTCCCTCTAACTTTTGTAGGATCACACAATCAAAGAAAGTGTTAATATATTGTGTTTTTCCAAATCTTCAACGTAATTTCAAAAATAGGCAGTGGTTATGTGAACGTGCTTTACTGGCACCCAAAAACATTGACGTTAATTGTATGAATAATATTATTTTGAATAGAATCGATGGTAATTTAAAAACATATAAATCCATCGATACTGTTACAAATAATGATGATGTCGTCAATGTATCCCCACGAATTGAAGTTGAAAATTGGCGTTCCAATTATTTTATTGCGAAATATTGATCCACAACGTCTTTGTAATGGTACTCGATTAACAGTTAAAAAATTAATGAACAACTTAATCGAAGCAACGATTACAACTGGCCAATATAAAGGAACGGATGTCTTACTACCTCGGATCTCAATGACAACATCGGAAATGCCATTCGACTTAAACGGTTGCAATTTCCTACACGTTTGGCATTCGCGATGACAATAAACAAATTTCAGGGTCAATCCCTGCAAGTGTGTGGAATAAATCTCGAAAATCCATGCTTCTCACATGGTCAGCTTTATGTTGCATGCTCGCGAGTTGAGAAACCTTCAGATTTGTATATCTACGCGCCTGAGGGGAAAACGAAAAATATTGTATATCCCAAGGCTTTAGAATAGGAAATAATTATTAAGAAAAATTTTAATTGTAAATATTAAGTCAATTAAATTTTAGTAATTTTGTAATATTTTGTAAATTTATGCTAATGAATAGGAATAAGAAATAATTATTAAGAAATAATATCTATATATATAAAAATGAAGTGTGTTGTATGTATGTATGTATTATATGTATGTATGTTGTTTGTGCTTTATAGACTGCTAAACGGCTAGACAGATTTTCCTGAAATTTTCACAGTTTCTTCCTATATGTCTGGAAGGAACTATAGGCTACTTTTTATGTTGAAATTTCATGTGGGCGACGTGCCACGCCCATATTAAGAAATATTAAATTAGTATATCTGAGATATATAATAGTTAGAGTCTTCAAATTTTGTCGGAGCAACTTTAGTATCAATATAATTATTTAAGACAAAAAGTGGGCGGATTAGCATTAGGGGCGTGGCACCTCCCATATAAATTAAATACAAAAATTCGTTTATCTTGGAAACTATATAAAAATTTCCACGAGTAACTTTAACATCCATGTAAACATTTTGGGAAATAAATTGGCGGACTACCCATGAGGGGAGCAGTACCTCCCATATTAAGTCAAATGCACTAAGAACTTAAATATTAATCTGAACATTTTTAGAAAAAAGAGCGGACTTCGCCATAATGTATGTATGTATGAGTATGTATGTATGTATGTATGTATGTATGATGTATGTATGTATGTATGTATGTATGTATGTATGTATGTATGTATGTATGTAAGTATGTATGTATGTATGTAGTATGTATGTATGTATGTATGTATGTATGTATGTATGTATGTATGTATGTATGTATGTATGTATGTATGTCTGTATGTATGTATGTATGTAATGTATGTATGTATGTATGTATGTATGTATGTATGATGTATGTATGTATGTATGTATGTATGTATGTATGTATGTATGTAGTATGTATGTATGTATGTATGTATGTATGTATGTATGTATGTATGTAGATGTATGTATGTATGTATGTATGTAGTATGTATGTATGTATGTATGTATGTATGTATGTATGTATGTATGTAGATGTATGTATGTATGTATGTATGTATGTATGTATGTATGTATGTATGTATGTATGTATGTATGTATGTATGTATATGTAGGTAGTATGTATGTATGTATGTATGTATGTATGTATGTATGTATGTATGTATGTATGTATGTATTATGTATGTATGTAGTGTATGTAGTATGATGTATGTATGTATGTATGTATGTAGGTATGTATGTATGTATGTATGTATGTATGTATGTGTATGTATGTATGTATGTATGTATGTATGATGTATGTATGTATGTATGTATGTATGTATGTATGTATGTAGGTTGTATGTATGTATGTATGTATGTATGTATGTATGTATGTATGTATGTATGATGTATGTATGTATGTATGTAGGTTGTATGTATGTATGTATGTAGGATGTATGTATGTATGTATGTATGTATGTATGTATGTATGTATGTATGTATGATGAGGTATGTTGTATGTATGTATGTATGTATGTATGTATGTATGTATGTATGTATGTATGTATGTATGTATGTATGTATGTATGTATGTATGTATGTGTATGTATGTATGTAGTATGTATGTATGTATGTATGTATGTAGGTATGTATGTATGTATGTATGTTTGTTGTTTGTGCTTTATAGACTGCTAAACGGCTGGACCGATTTTCCTGAAATTTTCACAGTTTCTTCCTGTATTTCTGGAAGGAACTATAGGTTACTTTTTATGTTGAAACTAGCTAA